TTTAACTACTACTAATCTAACTAATTCCATAAAAAAAGAGCTGGAAGCACTAACCTCTAGGGAGACGCAGCATTGGCAAAGCAAGAGAGCCATGTGTTCCAACAGCCATCGCTGGAGGTAAGAAGGAACTGAGGGGCAGGGTCATATACAGTGCACCACACCGGTGCCACTCCAGGAGGCTCCACAGCCGACACAATGGACAGCACTACTACTAATCTAACTAATTCCATAAAAAAAGAGCTGGAAGCACTAACCTCTAGGGAGACGCAGCATTGGCAAAGCAAGAGAGCCATGTGTTCCAACAGCCATCGCTGGAGGTAAGAAGGAACTGAGGGGCAGGGTCATATACAGTGCACCACACCGGTGCCACTCCAGGAGGCTCCACAGCCGACACAATGGACAGCAGCTAGGGTAAAAACTGTCCGGCAGTCATGCACATCGCACACACACGCCTCACGTGGAGCAGATAGGAGCAAGCACTCGAAGAAGAAATAACCCAGCAGGGGCCAGTCCAGCTCCCTTCCTACTGATGTCCAAATTCCCACACAACCCTGTGTCTGCTGCACCCCAGCCAGACACTTCCTCCTGCCTGTGACCCCCTCAGGCGCTAGTAAATCCCTCCCTCTGAGTGAGATGCTGCACCTCCTAGGGACTCTCCCTTGTAGGGTCCAGGAGATGGAGCCAAAGCGCAGCTTTCCGAGCGAGGGTAGGAAGAGCCATTAGAAATTCACCCTCTTCCAAAGTCCTTGGTGCAGGACTCAAACAGGACCACGGACAGGGGACCAGGGATGGGGCCTGGGATGATGGGTTGGTGGGAGTGAAATAGGATCTCCAGGAGGGCAGGGAACTAAGCAGTTGCGTAGGCCTAATGCAACAATTGTTGCTGAGACTCCTAGCCACAAGGATTCCTGTCACCCCAAGATGACTGTGGCTGCCACACACAGGATACTGACACACCACCTGCAGTCGGTGGATTGGCAAAGCCTTAGCAAGAAAAGAGAAGGAAGATACTGTCATTCAATAATACTCCAGCAGCAGGACGCATATGCTGGACCTTCTCTGACTGAGCAGCTTCCTCGCATAGCCTCTCTCACCCCGCATCCGCCTCCCTTTCTGTTTCAACCCTGATCTCTCTGTTCCCTCCCAATTCAGTACAAATCTGGCTCCTTCTCATTCTCGTCCGGCCAGCTGACAGGAAGCATGTGGTTTGCATGGACCCAGCCCGCTTGCTTTAGGGTAGAAACCTGCTCAACTCTGGTACAGTCAAGCCTGAATCTGCCTTGTAGAGAACTCTGTGTGCAGTTCCCAGAGATGAATGCGGAAACATCATTACAAAGAGTTTGAGCTGGACTGTGCTGTATTTTAGCTAGAAGAGGGTGATGGCCGCTAATCCCTGGGGACTGCAAAAGGAGACCCCCCCAGGTTCGTTGCTGAGTTGTCCCTGACATTCGCTCCCACGAGCAGAGAGTACAATGAAGGTTCATTGCTGAGTTCTCCCTGACATTCGCTCCCACGAGCAGAGAGTACAACGACTACAGGGGAGAGATGTTGGACATAAGGATCCCTCTGGAACTTCATGCTCTGCTGCTTGCTCCATTTTCTCTGCAAGCCCTGCTGCGTGTGTAGCGCTCATGTAACCCGAAGAGGCAGACACAGCATTCCCTCCCCTTCCCCCGAGGCGCCTGTTAATAGAGCTTCTTCAGTACCATCTTCTTGCTTCTTCCTCATAGCTGGAGGGAAATGAGGCCAGGTCACCTTGAACACAAGCCTTAGTCACAAGTCCCAACCTCTGCTGGCTCAGGAAAAATGAAAGGGGCACCTAAGTTGGCCATAGTGTACACTGGGAAAGGAACCCCCAGGGAGTACAATGACTACAGGGGAGAGATGTTGGACATAAGGATCCCTCTGGAACTTCATGCTCTGCTGCTTGCTCCATTTTCTCTGCAAGCCCTGCTGCGTGTGTAGCGCTCATGTAACCCGAAGAGGCAGACACAGCATTCCCTCCCCTTCCCCCGAGGCGCCTGTTAATAGAGCTTCTTCAGTACCATCTTCTTGCTTCTTCCTCATAGCTGGAGGGAAATGAGGCCAGGTCACCTTGAACACAAGCCTTAGTCACAAGTCCCAACCTCTGCTGGCTCAGGAAAAATGAAAGGGGCACCTAAGTTGGCCATAGTGTACACTGGGAAAGGAACCCCCAGGGCTGAGTGCAAAGAATGGGAGTGACACCAGCAGAGGGCATTCTCCATTGGTAGGAATGAGCGGGCTGATGGAGTATTTTTTAGATCATTGGGCCTCATCTGGTGAATGCACCATGCTTAGCAAAAAAAAATCCATACAAGTCACATCTTATCCTCTCAAAGGGTATGTAAAAGAGACATGTAAGATAGGGGAACAAAGGAGCTTGATGAGGGCATGATGGCTTGCTCAGTTTTCACCGGTGCGGTAGGGTGTTGCCTTCCAGCGGAGCCAACAGCCTCCGAGGGTCTCTGCCCTCCCAGAAGGGGCAGGACTGAATGTGAAAGGGGCGGGACTGAAGGCAGCCAGCCCTCAGTACTGCCCGAAGCACAGTGCCCAACCCCAATCCATAGCTCTTCTCGGAACACGTGGTCCGGTGCGTCACCATAGCACCCAAGCAGCAATTGAAAGGGCCCAGAACTCCGGCCACCACCACTACTACCGTGAATTGCTGGACCCCAGGATAATTACACCCTTTATTCCCCTATTGGCGAGCCTGTTGCCTTACAAGAGCAGAGTGAGATCAGGGCCAAATCTGTTACTCAATATAATAATCTCTGGCCATAGTGTAAATGAAAAAGAAAAACAAGACACGGATACTCAAAGCAGCTGTAGTCTGTACCTTTACTACTCTGTATATGGCTCTGCCACCACTATCAATGCTAGCTTGGGGTCCTTCGTAGACGGAGTACTTACAGGATGTATGGTGGTTAATATCACCTAAGTTTCCCTTGTCAATCTGATATCCTACTGACTAAGCATATGACAAGGAACCACTATTCATTTGGATATATGCCACCTATACGGAACTGAATGTGGGAGCACTGTTCTCTTTACAGCTTGGTCTCTGAATGGGTCGCCTTTCTTTTATGAAT